CGGCCTCCCCCACGGTCACAGGCAAGACCACGGTGCAGTCCTTGGTGTCTCACTCAGTCAGGAGAGCGTCTGGCCACAGGGGAGACATGGTCCCCTCCTGTGGGACAATCCCAGGAGTTCCCTGAAGACCACCCTCTTCCCACTGGCTGAAACTGCACCCTAAGCTCATGGGTGTAGATTCATCGTTGGCAGAGGGACCAGGACGAAGGCGACCGATGTAGATCGTGGTGTCTTAGTGGCATTTGGAGCAGGACAGTGACTATACGGGTGTGCCTCAGCGTCACGGCCATTTCATATCCCAGCCCCCCCCCACAGTTCAGGCACCCTTTGCTTAAGCACTGTGGATCTACACCTTCTGGGCTGAGACCGGTCAGGGGCGAGGCGTGTGTCTGGGCCCGGCCACCAGCAAGGTCTGCCACGTGTGGGGGGTGGGCGAAATCGACCCACGGCGAACCGAGCGTGGCCTCTCCGTTGGATTCTGATGTTTTCGCTCGGAGAGCTGCATGGGGAACGCTGCCGCCCCTCACAGGAAAGAGTCACTTGGCCAGCAGGGAGAGCGCCGGTGCCCCGTGGGTCAGATGGCTGGCCGCCAGACTCCGAGAGCTCGGAGCACCCTTAGCAGTTCATTCTGTGTTTGTCGGGCTGGTCTTGTTTCCTCTCCCTTGCCTTGGCTCAGCTTGGATGGTTCTTTCGGTCTGGTACAGAGTCACCCATTTTCTCTAGATCTTCCAATTAGCTTCCACAATGTTCTCTGGCAGTTTGCGAAATCTCCCCGGGGCGTGGGGCTTTTCCTTTTGTAAACTGGTGTGTTTGTGTTTTTGCTCTGAGGTCAGTCCCTACTCACAGCCGACCCACACGCATTCTCTCTCCGCAGATGGACGACGTTGGAGGCAGCCGTGCGCCAGCTGGAACAAAACATCCCGCCTTCCCGGCAGCCACGTGTGGCGGGAGGCACGTGGCACAGCTCTGAGGGCGCCGGGGCTTGTTTTCTTCCCTCCTTGATGCTTCTTTCCTCCTCACCTCCCTGGAACTCAGAACAGCCCAGAGGCAGAGTCACCACTCTCCACGCGGGGCCGGTGAACCGGCGCCGATGCCACCGTGGTCACACCCGAGCCTCGCGGTCCACCTGGGGGACGGACCCGAGTGGGGGTGTGGGGAAGACAGTGAACAGCTCGCTAGCCCGGCTCAGCCTCTGCACCCCGATCTCGTGCGGGAAGAGCCAGACCCCAGCTCGGACGATCTCTTTTTTCCCCTCTGGGGCCTCCTGGGGATTCAGCGGCCTTTTTCTTTTGTCCCTCACGCAGCTTTTTTGCTATGTGACGGATATTAGCTTTTAATCATTAGTAATTTCCTCTTTTTTCTTTTGATTTGGTTAATTCATTTAATATATATTTTAGCAAGACTTACCTGAGTTTGCAGAATTTCCTTTGGTTTATTCCATACATTTTATAGAATGTTATTTATTTTCTAGTTACTCCTTAGCTAATGCGCTGTTGGTTTTTTAACTTTAATTCAAACCTTATTTAGAACTATCTTTTCACTTCCAAATGGTTATGTTTTATTTTGGCTGTTTTTCGTTGTCAATTTCTAGACATCCTCTCTTTAATAAAAAACAAGCTTCGGGATCCCGTTGCTATTGAAGGCGCACAGTTTCACGAGACCCGCTTAGCAAAACAGCCACCTCCCCCGGGGCCCCAGCGTCCCTCCCCGAAAACAGTCCCTTAATGACTTTGAGCGACTACTTGTTATTGAATTCCACAGTTCTGAACAACAGGCTTCTGCTTCTGGAATTTTATTTTCTAATTTAGGCCTCATGTATTGACTTAGTCTTAGGAGGATGGAGGCTCAGCATCTTTCACCCTCCACGTCCACTGCCTTCCTCCCCTGCACCTCTCCCTCCTTCTCATAGAGTCATGCTATAATTGCCTTGGGGGTCAAGATGCTGGGACATCTTGGTGACATCACAGTAGCAATGACAAAGAAGCACAGAGCTCAGTCAGGTAATGCTGTGTTTATTTTTTATTTCCTGCACAGCGTTTTATGTTCCCTGGAGTTAGCAACCATCTTATTTTGTCGTTGTTATTGTCGCAGGTGGCCCAGGCAGGCAGAGGAGCTTAGCTTACAGGATTTGGCCGCTCTGGGGAAAGGCAGGATCAGGTGTGCCTGTGGGGGGAGAACCAGCCCAGGGCTCAGCGGAAGGCGAGGGGGGGGTGATGGTTAGGATGGGCAAGGCTGGAACTTCAGAGGAACGTGATAAAAGATTAGCTTCGGTTACTATTCACGCCCCTCCAGAGAGTGTGTTCTTGGGTGAAGCGAGCCCCACACGAGCTCTGAGTGGGTTGCAGAGTCACCAGGAACGTAGAGAAGTTAGGAAGGGCCCCGGGTGGAGGCGCATTGCTGGGGTAACCCTGCGGGGAGCGCGGGTTCTGGAAGCAAGCCGGCTCTGCAGGCGGGCTGGTCCTGGAGGCGAGTCGGTTCTAGAAGTGGGTTGTGGAAGTATAGAGGGTTCTGGAAGCAGGCTGTGGAGGAAGGACGGCGGACCGTGCAGACGGCACCGGAGTGGGTCTCTGAGCGGAGACGAAAGCGGGCATTGTTTCAGAACCCGCGCCAGCGCTCGCTCGGCAAAACCGTTAAAAACCCCATTGTGAACGTTTTGGGACGAGCCCCTTGAAGGGTCCCTGTTGCCGGAGGACGGGATAGCACTGCGCGGTGGCAAACGCGGAGCCTGCACCGGGGGCTGCGCTGGGAGGCGCGCGGAGGCAGCGTGGACCGGCGCCCTTTGAGAGTTAACGTTTCACGTTTCTTTTTTCCCTTTTTCCCTAACTTTGCTGCAGGCTAAGCCGCCAGCGCATGCGCAGTACAGGCCCCGTGCCTGCCCCTCAGCGTCGGGCCGGGCGGTTGCCGGGGTGACTGCATTCCCCCAGGA